GATTAGGTAGCAGATTTTCACTGTGACCTAGACACGTCCAACGAATATAACGTGATTTTTTTTTACAACACAGGGGGCAAACGAGCATGTTTCTCACCTGATGGTAAGTGAATATCGCCGCCCATGATCACCCACAATACCAACGGCATTGCAAGTGTGCTGCCGGCCTTTTAAAAAGGAATATGCCATTTTCTTGAAGGTTATGATGTCGTATCGGTTCGGAAATACTGCTGCTGGAAGTTGATTCCAAAGAGTAGTTCATTGTTGTTACTATTGCATATATAAACAATGACGTCTGTACACGTGCAATGTTGTATTATAATTTAAAATACCTCTTTGTATGTCTTCACAAATTATTAAAATTTAATTAAATTACTATAAAGGAGTACTACGATAAACGTTATTGGTTTTTGAGAGAATTATTTACAGAATGACATAATTTATACTTTATTATTTTTTAACATACTATTATAATTTCATTATTATTAATCGAATAAATAATTGATGTAATGTTAAGTAACTTATATGTATGTATAAGATGTAATGTAACTTGTACCTAGTCAATAATGATTTTGAATGCTGTAGACTATAAGGCGAACATTTGTACTTCACAATAAATCAATATCTGTAAAAACAATGTTCTGACAAATAAATAAATCTATCTATCTATCTATTACCAACTGGACCCGGATTAGAATGGGCCACCCCTTCCTTTCCCATTGGTACTGTAAGAGGCGACGAAGAAAACTTAATGATAGAGGGATGAGCAGCAGCGTCCCTCTTAAAATATCATCAAAGACTAATTACAGTTTCCAACCCGCCTACCAGGCGTGGCAACTACTAGAAAAACTCCTCTTATTGTAAAAACCTGTTCTGAAGTGGAAAATTAACGGCTGATATGATGATAATGGTGTGATCCCATGTGGCCCCGGATGGTCCGGCATAGAATAGGCCACCCCTTCCTTTCCCATGGGTGTCGTGAGAGGCGACTAAGGGAGAGCGAGGGATGAGCAGCAGCGTCCCTCTTAAAACATCTCTAAAGCCTTACTGCGGTATCCAATCCGCCTGCCAAACGTGACAACTACTGGCAAAATCACCCTACGGGGAGGCTTATGTACAGCAGTGGACAGTTAAAGGCTGATATGATGATAATGATGACTATAGAGGGAACTTCAAGTCGGACTAGGCTGTATGTGCTTCATTCCCTTGCTCTATACTTTTACACAGAGGAAAAAATAGACAAAAAAAACTATTTAAAAAAAAAAACAAATTTGAAAAAAGAACGCTGGCTTACAAAAATAATTCGAATTACGGCATTTGGCTTGCTCTTTGCCATTGTAGATTCTAATACGTAGATCTATAACAGTGTACATCTATAATTGTGTAAATCTATAAAAGCAATATTCGACAAATATCTCTGATCACCCTATACAGCTATAATGGGTAACATAGTTTTTTTTCTTTTGTTATAATCATAGTATAAAATATAAGAGAATATTATATAAAATAACAATTTTATAAGCAAAAATACCGACAAATATTACGATCAAAATGAACGCTAGTTAAAAATGTGAAAAATTTAATTTTGCGTATACTACCCTGTACAGTATCTGAGTAACATATATATTTACTATATATATACAACTAATATATACTATACACTGAATCCTCTTTTATTTAACAATCGAATAAAAAGTGAAAAGAAATCGCAAGTTGTCTATAAAACAAACAAGTAATAAATTAGACTGAATTCATTTCCCCTGTCGCTAGAGCCCGCGACAACTTTCTAGGGTTGCAATCTCTATATTCTCTATTCCTTTTATATCATAATATTATATTGCATTGCCTTTCAACTATTCTTATCGGGTATCGAGTGAATTCAATATAAACCTTATTGAACATAAAATCCGTTTTGTTAAATAAAGTTACTTATTATAATATTTTTTTATGGGGGGGAAAGAAATTGTTAGCAATATGCCTTATTAGGTCGACCTCCACGTGGTTCCCCCTGGAAACCATCGTGAACAATTCTTGTTGAATTCGTCACGATGGGCTAACTGACCTACTTCATCCTCACCTATCATCCTCCACTGGTGCCTTGCCGGTGTATACCAATAGCGCGGGCGGGGTTACCATTCCATTATCATCCATTAAAAAAAATAAAAAAAAATTTTTATGCAACTTAGAATGGCAAACAAGCTGACGGCCCACCTGATGGCAAGTGGTAACCGTCGCCTATAAACATGAGCAGTACCATGGACATAACAGAGTATACTGTTTCGCCCATGATACCCCCATGCGTTGCCATTCCTGAGGACTCAGGTGTTATTCCTCTGTACCCAGTAAATTCACGCCATATCCCACCCTTCAAACCGAAACACAGCTATGCAAACACAACTGCTTCACGGTTGAAACACGAATGGGACAGAGGTGCCCAAGCAAACGACTTTTGTACAAAGTCTCCCTCTGGTAAATTAAGTAATTGATTAGTACTCTAGATCTGAAGTACCCGTAGATGTTATTTTGCGCAAGTCGTTATCATCATCGTCATACCAGCCTTTAACTGTCCACTGCTGAACATAAACCTCCCCCTTGAGGGGTTTGCCAGTAGTTGCCACACTTAGCAAGCAGATTGGCAAACATGGTTAGGCTTTGGAAATGTTTTAAGAGGGACGCTGCTGCCTATCCCTCGCCCTCTTTTAGTCGCCGCTTACGACACCCACGGGAAAGTAAAGGGTGGCCTATTCTTATCCGGGACCACACAAAACGGTATACCACTTGTTATTAATAATTCTTATCAATTATCAAATAATTACTTAGCTCTTTATACAATTTCTTTTAATGAGTATGAATGGAATAGTAACCCCACTATTGATATACACTGGCTGGACACCATTGAAAAATGATAGGTGAGAATAAAAGCAGGTCAGTAAGCCCATGTAACGGATACCATAAGAATTAATCACGATGGCTTCAATGGTAAACCGCGTAGAGGTCGGCCTGATAGGGTATTATATTGTTAGCAATGGAGGTGCTCTGTATAAATTAGGTCAATAATAGATTAACACCCTCATTCATAAAAATGCCAGTCCTCGCAAATTCTATTTTCGCTAATGAACTGTTTTATCCCATCTCTTAGTGCTAAATTCTCAATGAAAATGACGAAACGCTGTAACAGTTAAAAAAGGTTCGTACGAAGTTATTATTTTTTATGAATAAAGAGATCAATTCGTAAATTTGAAAACATCTTGACTTTTATTAACAATAATTTATTTATTTTTTTAAACAGAGGTCGTTACATTACAGGCTTTGGTATCTCCTGTTAAGCAAAGATTGCTTGTGTTAGGAGAAACAGCGAACTTTAAAATCATTCTTTCACTAAACAGGCTATCAAACTGGCTTAAGTTTTAATAACTTTACTGTCATTATTATTTCTAGTCCACCCCCTAAAATCCATCCGAAAACTCAACCGAAGCTATATCGAAATATTTCACGTCATTTGCAAACTTATTATTCAATTTGAAATGGCAAACAAATCGACGAAAATTGATAACTGTCGCATATAGACAGGAACATGATTATTATAGAGATCACATGCTCTACTTTATTGCAAATATGTAAATACATATGTATAACATATCCATATAGCGGTAAACACAATTAAATATCGGCACATAATTAGTCAAAAATTACTTTTCTTTTTAAAGTATTTATATACTACCTGTGGTAAGATAGATAGGTGAAATCTTAAAGCAGTTGTGTTTGCATGGCTGTGTTACAGTTTAAAAGGTGGGATATGGCGTGAAATTACAGGGTACAGAGGAATAACACCTGAGTCCTCAGGAATGGCAACGCATGGGGGGTATCATGGACGAAACAGTAAACTCTGTTATGTCTATGGCACTGTTCATGTCTATAGGCGACGGTTACCACTTTCCATCAGGTGGGCCGTCAGCTTGTTTGCCATTCTAAGTTGTATAAAAAAAGTTATTACTCTGCAAATTTTGTAAATAATCCTGGCAAGTCTTATAGAAATTGCTCAATTAAAAATTGTATAAACCACATAACTAGATGGAACAGTATGTTTAAAGTAACTTAATTAAAATTATAATTGAAATAAGACTAAAGATATAATAAAAATCGTGAAAATATAAAAAAAATATATACATTATTAAAAGAAAAGTCCATTTTAGATATTTGTATATTAAAATATTTTTAGAGTACTTGCAAAATTAATAGAAATTCAGCTAAAGGCTACTTATTAATAAAGAATATAATTAAAGATGCTTCTGCCGTGAAATGGACATTCTAAATAATAGGTTTCGTGGTAGGTTTATTATTAATTTTAAATACTTAGAATATTTAGTAAATAAACTTAATATATATATTTTTATGGAGATATCGATATTAATTTAATAATGTATTCTCATTATTTATAATTATTTAATCTTGTACATTTGTCAACAATGCAAAAATTAATATATCTACCAATTAAAATAACACAATAAGTATTTTAATCCATAAAATACACGAGAATAAACGCAATTGAAATCTAAAATCATGTCTAATAATCTAAAAAAAAATATTAATATGTAAAGCTACAAATCTACATAATTGAAAACGTTGAAAATATCCGATTGAAACCACTATAGTGACAAACTAAATGATAAAAATTACAATTATATAAACAACAAAATATTCCACGATAAACAAAATTTAATAAAGAATACATTAATATATGTAGATTCAAATCTATAAATATTTGTCTCTTTTTAAAATTCATTTTGGAGCGAAAATTTATAACCGGCAATAACATACGCAATCAATCTTCTTACATGCCCAAATACATTACGAGTAAAACACATATCATTAGTAAAACCTCTATACTGCCATAATATAAATAGCTGTCAATCAAAAGATGCAAAACCTAAATTCATATTATAGGTCATAAACGGCCAACGTGTTTGTGCAATACAAAAATAATAACATAAACAGCTTACCTCATAAACAAAACACTGTATCACAAATCACAGCACATTAACACTAGAACGGATCACTAGAAATTTGTCACACGTTAAAACATGTTCGTAAATATGAATACGCGAACGCGACCGCAATACGTGTAGCGACGCAGCCGGAGTACGCGAAAGCACTAACGTCCGCTCTAAGAGGCGGCCGAGCACGGCGCGCGCACGCCCCACGAAAACGGTAATTCAAACACATTTATCAAGCTAATTCTGCAAATTGGACTAAATAATGACATTACCGAGCCACTGTTCCTTCCCTCCAGTGTTACTGTTTGTCGAGACACTCAATGGTGTTCATAATAACGTCTTTGGTGTTAATAAATTAGTTTAAAGTTGAATCGTCGCTCGGTTGAGTTGTGATTTATCGCGGGGCCGCGGGTTGGTTATTCAATTTGTGTGAACCCAACTGGGCGAATCCGCATATTGAATGCACGGCACGCATAACGGGACATTAGTGTAACAAATTTTTGTAGTGAAACTACCCGCAAAATTAAATTTCTCTATTAGTTTAGATAATTGCTTATATTATTAGTATAAGGTAGTTATACACGTTGATCTAACCATAAATATTGATTTGAATTTATACATGTTTTATTTTGTATCTGTGGTTATTTAATGTTTTGAAGTAGCAAAATAATGAGATTTCATCTCTTGAGATGAGAATTCAGCTTATGGGATCCCATAGGAAAGCCACTATAAGTACCAGATGCCGTATCGTTCACATATTACCGTACCCTATTTTAACAACCCCATGACATCGACTTACTTTGCACGGATCTCTTGCCATAAAAGAAGTTTATGGGAAAATATCCCGCATTAGACTACTATTCACTATTACTGTACTGGTCAGGTTTTTTGATATAAGGATTTATGTGGAGTTTTTCTTCTTTTGCATGTGTGTATTGTACTTCGTTCTCTTAATTCTTTCTAATGATATACTGAAAAAGAACTATTGAAATATTATGTTCTTACTCCATGGCAACTACTGGCAAAACCTGCCCTTATGGGGGAAGGGATTGTTAGTAATACGGACAATCAATCCTATTGCTAGCAATATGCCCCATAAGATCGACCTCCACATGGTCCCCCTGGAAATCATCGTGCTGAATTCCTGATGTATTCATCACGATGGGCTAACTGACCTGCCTTTTTATTCTCACCTATCACCCCTTACTGGTGCCCCGCAAGTGTATACCGTTAGCGCAGGTGGGATAACCATTCTATTATCATCAATTAAAAAAAAGGAAGCCCCTCCCCCCTCTTATGGAGAGGCTATCTTCAGCAGTGTATAGCTAATGGCTGATACAACAACAACTCCGTTTGCCGTGTGTTCCTTTCTCGTGGCTGACGCGAGAGATGACTAAGGGTTATGAGTAGTTATCAAGCTTGGCAGGGAGGTTGAAAATCGCAGTTCGGCTTCGATGATGTGTTAAGAGGAACGCTGCTGTCTATCCCTCCACCATTAAATCCCCTTAATCGATTCTTAAAACACTCGCGGAAAAGGAGGGGATGGCTTATTTATAAACCGCGAGCATTTTTTTAAACCAAAAAAAAAACAATATTTATTCATTATATATTTCACATAATAAATAAACAATAGCCCGGTGTAGGTATTTATTTACTACATAAAAAAGAGAAGAAAAAAAACATGTTATGAAGAGAGAAGAGCTCCTTTGAACTGTTCTGCGCACCTCAGCCGCTGAGCGCGAGCTATAGACGCATTTTCATACTGCTAACAGTGTTGGACCAAGTTTCAGTCGAGTAAGTCATCACTGACTACACGCACTGGTTAAACTTTCTTCTTTAGGTAAGACTTTGTGGTACTTTGGATGAAAAGATGTAGGAAATTACGACCTATCATAAGTTTCTTAAGGCAATCTGTGAGAGAGCATGTATGACAATGATGGCTGAAAAGATATAAAGGAAACTCACCCAGCAAATCCTAAATCTGGTTTTAATACACACAATGACAATGTCGCCGGTTGCAATATTTCTGCAACAAAGTCTCACTTCACGAAGCCCAAGCCTGTATACAAAAATAGAAGAGTTATATTCAAAACTAGCTATCTGCCCCGGCTTTGCGCAGGTATATAAAAAATTAATTAGTATTTTGTATGAGCTTACATAACATAATAAAAAAAATTGCATATTAATATGCAAATTTTTTAACCTTGGGTTATATAACTATAATTTTTGACATCATAATCACCATATCAACCATTAACTGTCCACTGCTGAACACAGATCTTCCCCTTATGGGGGTTTTTTCCAGTAGTTGCCAAACTTGGCAATCGGATTAGCAACCTCAGTTAGGTTTGGGTGATGTTTTAGGTGAGACGCTGCTGTCCGTTCCTTGACCATTAAGTACCCTTGTCGCCTCTTACAACACCCACGGAAAATGGGCCACCTCTAGGCCCATTCTATTCTAGAACCACACGGCATATTTTCGTAGGGATCTCTAATATTTTTTTCGTTAATATTATACTGTCTATGTTACTCGATGATATCGTAGCTGTCAATGGATGAAAGAATTTTTGAAATCGATTCAATAGTTTTCGAATTTATCTATTATAAACAAACATTTTTTTTATGCAAATTTGAATGACAAACAAGCTGATGGCCCACCTGATGGAAAGTAATAACCATCGCCTATAGACATGAGCAGTACCATGGACACAACAGAGTATACCGTTTCGCCCATGACACCCCCTATGCGTTGCCATTCCTGAGGACTCAGGTGTTATTCCTGTGTACCCTGTAAATTTACTGTCATATTACCCACCCTTCAAACCGAAACACAACCATGCAAACACAACTACTACACGATAGAAAGACGAATAGGACAGAGGTGCCCAAGCAAATGACTTTAGTACAAAGTCTCCCTCTGGTACAACATACAGAAAATAAAATCTTTCTTCGTAATTTTAGTATAAAAATATAGATAAGATAATTTTATTTATGAAACTGAACCAACTAATTTTATGTCGAGTCAATTTCGCCCGGAAAATGTCTACGAGGAAGATCGAGCGGCTGTCTACAGTTTTGTGTGACATAAAATATAATCTAAACCAATCTTTTTAAGCGACTTCCGAAAGGAAGAGATTCTCGATTCATTTGATTTTTTCCCGACTACTCGTATGTTACGCGATTACGTTACCAATTTTGCGTCAATTTTCGTGATTCTTTTTTCAATAAACTTCGTTTACTTCCATTGTAATTTTCTAACGATTGAAGTTGCCGTTAAACCTTATAGAACAAATATAATGGTAAAAGAAAAATAAATATAGGACTTGTATTCTAGTTAATATGGAAACACCAGAGAAAGACTTTGTACAAAAGTCGTTTGCTTGGGCACCTCTGTCCTGTTCGTATTTCTACAGTAAAGCAGTTATGTTCGCATGTCTGTGTTTTACTTTGAAGAGTGAGAAATGACAGTGAAGTTATAGGGTACAGAGAAATAACACCTGAGTCTTCAGGAATAGCAACACATGGGGGGTATCATGGGCGAAACAGTATACTCTGTTATGTTCGTGATACTACTCATGTCTATAGGCGACGGTTACCACTTTGTATCAGGTGGGCCATTAGCTTGTTTGCCATTCTAAGTTGCATTAAAAAATACATCATCACAGTGAGATAAGAGAGACAAATAGCCAGATAAAGCAGACCTGAGTACGAATTCACTGTCTCTGAGACGTGTCTACAACATTATGACGCTAATAAAATATTCAATTCAAGAATTGAATATTTTACTGAATTTGTTTTTTTTTTTCAATTGATGCTAATGGAATGGTAACCCCGCCTGCGCTTACGGTATACACTGGCAGGGCGCCAGTGATGGATGATAGGTGAAGATGAAAGGGCAGGTCAGTTAGCCCACTGTGATGAATACATCTGAAATTCAGCACAGTGGTTTCCAGGGGGGACCTTTAAGCTAGATGTTATCTTGCGAAAGTCCATATCACTGGTCATTTGATTAGAATGATTATGTTTAATCATTAGTGACTGTCAACATTCAAAGATTGGCCACCACTATTACTACCAGAAATTCTACAACATTGCATATTAGCCATTAATCTCCGACAGCCATTTTGTTTACGCACGTTCTGCAACACATGTTTCTCCCCAAAACGAGGCATCTTCAGGCAAATTACTAGATCGCTGCTCGGAGTCTAGCGTTACCCATTTGGCACCCAAGCTGCAATCCTAAATTGAAAATCAGTTATATAAAAGTACATTATTATTTTACTAGATTTTACCCGTGACTTTGTCTGTGTATCTCGAATATGTTTACTGACCAAGATAAAAACATTTTATAAACTTCTTTTTTTTATGCAACTTAAAATGGCTAACAAGCTGACGGCCCACCTGAAGGAAAGTGGTAACCGTCGCCTATAGACATGAGCAGTACCATGGTCATAACAGAGTATACTGGTTTGCCCATGATACCCCCCATGCGTTACCATTCCTGAGGACTCAGGTGTTATTCCTCTGTACCTTGTAAATTTACTGCAATATCCCGCCCTTTAAACCGAAACTCAGCCATGTAAACACAACTGCTTCACTATAGAAAAAAAGAGAGCATTGCCCAATTAAACGACTTTTGTACAAAGTCTCCCCCGGGTTTAAAAGCAACCACAGCATGCTTTGTATTTAAGAAACATTAAAATAGAGTTAAATTACTAAATGCTATGAAATGAATAAAGATATTAATAATATAAACAATTGAGAAAAATTATAATTATTTCATTTATTTATAATTGAACTAAAATTTAATTGAAATGTTTTTTCAATTAAATTTAAGTTAAATTATAAATAAATAAAATATGATTTAATGGCGAGGTAGATCACCTTTTTAATTTAGACATGAACATAGAGTGACTATCATTGTGAATATCAAGTTCAGGCTTGGTTTTTACAATATCGTTATACAGGTGCGTTATGCGGACGATAGCTGATTCGTGGCCCAAGTTTGTTCTGCAAGCTGCACTTTTATATACATCAAGTATCATTATAATTATGTTAAAGTAAATGCTGTGAATACCTATAATAGGCATATTTAATGTTTGTAATACCTATATGTCATAATGCAATATGCTGTTGGTGTTCCTTAAATAAATAAATAAA